GACTCGACGTCTGTGGCTTAGAAACGCTTAATACAGAGTGGATCTGGTCAGACTGTCAAGCTGGTGAATAGAGAGATGCTTGCAGGCTAGTGAGCATGGCAAGCTACACTGTTGATTGCTTTACAGTTGACCAGAAGAGACGTATGACAGAAATGTCGTCTCGTGATAAGCCCGGGCTGGCAGGCAGCTACTGCGTCATAGGCTCATAATCTGCAAGATGACGAGGACGAGGACATCTTCAGCGTCTATTCTTGCCAAACAATAGAACAGGACTTGTGCTCAGGGCGAGCAATCAAGCTTTCGGTATTCGCGGAATCTGGCGATCCTGCATGACTTTCCGTTTTCGGAGCTACCGTTCCATCGGAGAGTAGGGGCCCATCCGAAGACTCCAATAGTTCAGTCCAAGTCTAAGACATCTGCTAATAACTTGACCAGAAATCCCAGCTCTCCGGCAATTCTGTGTAAGATTACTCGACGAAATTTTGATTGAGGTTTTTGATTCGTTTCGAGGCCCGGCAATAATAGGGACCTCCGCTGTGACCTAGACGGGCTCCACGCTCCAAGTCTCTCACATTCCAGAGTGAAGCCCAGCTGAGTAAGACATAAACCCCCGACATTCTCCATGGTTGCACTAGCTTGATTACTGACGCTGATCTTTTTGTCACCGTCTTTCTTGTAGCTTGTTGGGTGACCCCTTTGCGTTACTACGTATTTCATGATGACTACTCGATGGTGGATGACGGCATCAGGAGGGGAGGTCATTGTAGAAGCAGTGTCACGTCATGGCTTAATTTATTTTTATTGTTCACGGCCTGGTGTTTTGAGTCCATGATTTGACTGCTTTAACTTCTGCAAGAACCCTCTTGTATTCGCGGCCCTTTAGCCACTGTGGAAGCGCATTTGCAGCTTGCTGCTATACTTCAATTCTCTCTGTCCGCCTGTTATTCAACTTGTGATTTTGAATGTTTCTTTTGACCTCAGGAAATGGGAGTAGAACTCGGAGGACCAGGGGTAGATCACTCCCACCGCGGCTACCCTCATCGCCCTATGAACCCGGCATTGGCGACACCTCTCTTCGTCCTCAGCGGGGTCTTCACCGTTCTATTCGTGTGTCGGGTGGTCATAAGAGTTCGGCATCGTCGTCGTTTACGTGAGATTCTTCAGACGGATGACCAGAGCAAGTTTTCGCGGACCAGCACCATCTTTGCCTGGATAAAGAAACATGTACTCTATGCACCGTTGTTTTCCAAACGGCACAGTCGCGAATTTCAACTGTTCGACAGGATTCACATGGGAAACATACCCTCACGACTGGAGGCTACATTACTTTTGGCATATATCACGACCAACCTCCTTTTCTTGTTCGTCCTAGTCGACTGGTGGACGGACTATCAAGAAAAGATGTACCAATTAAAATATGCCGCCGGACATCTGGCAGTAATGAACTCACCGGCGCTGGTCTTGACCGCGGGCCGGAACAATCCCCTCATCCCACTTCTGGGCATTCCTTTTGACACTTTCAATCTCCTGCACCGCTGGGTCGGACGGATCATGATTTCTGGGGCCCTTGTTCACATGGGATGTGTCATTGGGGCACAGGCCAGGCAGGGTGGGTGGTTCAGCTGTCTCGAATGATGGCCGTTGCTGACATGGGAAACAGTAACTATGGACACAATCATGAACGAACTTTTGAATAAGCCCTTCTATGTATATGGAATCATTGTAAGTGATCTGTCTCGATGAACGGTTTACTAATTGGCATTGCTAATCCGGTCGACGGTAGGCTCTTATTGCATTTGTTGTTATTTTCTTTCAATCAGTCTCGCCAATTCGGCATGCATTCTACGAAGCCTTTCTTCACTTTCATATAATCCTCGCAGTCGTGGCATTTGTTGGGCTATGGTATCATCTGCGTGGCTTGGCCCAACAGAGGGTGCTCCTGGCCACGTTGATCCTTTGGGGTCTTGATGTGAGTATATACCCTTGGTCATAAAGTTGCACTGCTCATGCGTCTCTACAGAGAATTGCACGTCTCTTCAGTATTGTCTGGCGGAATTGTGGCAAGCAGCGCACTTCTGCTACCGTGGAACTATTGCCTGGAGATGTTGCGCGTGTCGAGGTTGCCGTGTCGCGTCCCTGGACATTCAAGGCCGGACAGTATATGTACCTCTATATCCCGTCGCTAGGACTATGGACCTCGCATCCATTCTCTGTGGCATGGACATCCTCGGATCGGATGACTTCCAGCGAAAAACGTGATTCAAGCGACTCGTTCAATGTCTTGCTGGGTGGACCTCAGCGGACTACCATGTCATTCCTGATCAAGCGGCGAGACGGATTTACCAACAAGCTTTTGAGGAAGGTTCACAGCTCGGAGGAAGGGAGGTTCAACGCGACTGCGTTGGCAGAAGGGCCATTCGGTATGCATTTTGACTCTATTCATTTTGGGACATACGCTTACACTGTGGAACACAGGGGGGATTCACTCGCTTGCATCCTATGGCACGGTACTGCTCATAGCAGGAGGGATAGGGATAACTCACCCAATCTCCTATCTTCGTGAGTTTGCCGATGGTTTCTCCAACCGATCGATGGCGGTGCGGAGAGTCACCTTGGTATGGGTTGTACGCCACCTAGGTAGGTTTTACAGGTCAACGAGCAAATGAACATGAGCTGACCCCAGTTAGAGCATCTGGACTGGATCCAGCCGTGGATGGCCTCTCTACTCGACCATCCAGCCGTAGAAGCCCCGAACGAGCGCAAGCAACAATCATACTTCCAGCTTCCCGAGTTCTCATTATCAATTCAAATCTACGTGACGTCAAAAGGGTATAGCACAGACGAATACTTATCCGACGAGAGCCCTTGGACCAAATCACCACCATCAACTGTATCTATCAGCATCAAGTACGGCAAACCATCGTTTGCGGAAGTTGTGGATGTGGAGATGGCGCAACAAGTTGGTGCGATGGCCGTTAGCGTTTGCGGCCCTGGAGGACTGGGCGACGATGTGAGACAGGCCGTTCGAGAACGTCAGAATGGGCAGTTGGTCGATTTTTATGAAGATACATTTTCCTGGTAGGATCTGCACTACCACCAGAAATGCTGGCGTTTTTGTGATCATACATACAAGCACAAACTAGATGATACTCTCCAGACATCTTGCGAATTGAATCGCTTCCATTGCTTCCCTAAGTTTCAATAATGTAAGAAAATCTTTAATTATTATAACGAAAATAGAGTGCATTGGCCCTAGTAATAATATCTTGATTTCAGACGAGGTGATAGCAGCGGTGCAACGATTCTTGTAACTCCCGATCAGGTGTAGGGTTACCTAATTGGGCAATGGGTGGGTATCCCTATTCGCCAGGTCTGGCCCAACGCAAATCCTGGTTCCTGAACCTTCATCCGTCGGCTTTTCCCCCTGCATGCTACATTCCACCACATCCAGACCAGGAGTAGCAGGAACCTGATGCCAAATCATTGAATGTCCTCATTAATCTCCAAACACCGCTGCAACGTCTATTTTACCAGTGTATCTAGCCAAGCAAGCACCTCCTAAGCAATCAATCACAACATACTCTTCGGCGTCTTGATCAAATGCAGATTCACCGGCGTCAAGGCCTTCCCTCTCAGTAAAAACTCCTCAATATTCTCCATCGCCAACCGTTCAAACCCGACATGCGTGTCCACCGTACCACCGGCATTATGCGACATCATCATCACCCGGCCATGCCTCGCCAGCCGCGGATGCACATACGGCTCCTCAGCATGAACATCCAGCCCAGCAGCCGAGATCTGCCCCTCATCCAGAGCCCGCAACAGCGCCTCCTCATCAACCAATGATCCCCGCGCGATATTGATGAACCGCGCCCCGCGCTTGAACCTCCCCAGCCGCTCCGCATCGATCAGCGTCCGCCCCGCAAACGGCGTCGCGACCACCACGCAATCCGCCAACCCCAGCAACTCGTCCAACTCGCCCACGAACCGTGCGCCAACGGCGTTCTCGACCTCGGGCGATTTTCGGACCACATCGTTGTACGCGATCTTCATGCCGAAGGCGGCGTGCGCTTTCTTGGCGATCGTGTACCCGATCTGGCCCAGCCCGATGATGCCTAGGATGCGGCCGCGCGGGTTCAGCGCTGTCAGCGGGGAGTTCTTGTGTGCGTCGAGGAAGCGCCGCGGGTTGCAGGAATGCGCTGCCTGGTGTGACCAGGCGAGGTTGCGGAAGACGGCAAGGATGAGGAAGAGGGTCATGTCGGCGACTGATTCCGAGGAGGCGGCGGCGCCGTTGCAGTATACGATCCCTTTTGCATTGTTAGCCTAGGTGGTTCTGCCTCTGTGCTGAGTCGGAAGCGCACCATGCTGTGCGAAGATATCTACGTCGGCCCAGTCGTAACCCGCGCCTGCGGAGGCCATGATGCGTACTGATGGCGGGAGGAGGGGGATGAGTTCCGCATCCCACCGGCCCATTTCACCTCCTGTATTCCAGAAGGGGCGGAAAATTGCGTGAAAGTCGCCCCAGCGACGTTCTTTTAATGCGCGCATGAATTCGCCCCGTTCGCGCTCTGCGGCCGTTGGCTGAATGATTTCGAATTCCGAGGCGAAGCGCTGGTAAACATCGTGGTTGTACTTGATGTTGTCGCCTATATGGAGAACGCGATATTTGGACGTCATTTTGGTTTTTCAATGCTCTTTACACTACATTATAGGGCTACTGGTTGTGTTCCGTGGACGTTGTCTTATACAAAGGTATCGTGTTGTATACTCTGCCCGTCAATTGCCGAAAATCAAAAACCGATAGCCGATGCAGCAGATATCCGACATTTAACCCACACATCTATAGCCGTCAGAGACCGATAGCAGTATCTGACTAGCGATGATCACAATTTATAGTCTCGAATGCATTTCTTTCTTAGGTGAGGGGACTAATCCCCCGACCAAGGTATCCAAACGACTCCACGCTCTTCTCCGCACGCGCCAAACATCTACCGAATTGGTCAAGATCCCCATTCTGCTCTTCGGTAGTCACTCTTCCGAACCGCGAGTCCAACGGCAGAGGCAATGTTCGCGCCCCCAAGGATGTCGAAAATGGCGACGTCTGCGCGGAGTTCTCTGGAGAACCAGTTCCGTAGTTCCACTGCCGCCAGGGAATCGACTCCGTACTGGTGTATGGGCTTCTCGACGTCTATCTCAGCCAGAGGTAATGAGAGCATCTTGGAGAGCTTGATCTTCAGCTGCTCTGTCACTGCTGCAGTAACATCTGCTTCGGATCCAGCGTTTGCGAAGAGAGCAGCGAAATTGGTATGCTCCGCCTTCCCGGAAATGCCAGCTTCAGTCCCTTCGACCAATGTCATATGCTGGTAGAATGGTCGCTTGATCCATTCGGTGGTTGTCATGCCTTTCTCGCGCAGTTTGGGAGTCATTCCAACCACCGTCTGACTTCTCAACAATGGAACCTCGTCCAGACTTGGATTACAGTAGACATCCAGGAGCGCGTGGAGGTCAGACTCTGTGATCTGCTGGAAGACGGTACTGGCCAACGTCTTTTCTCGGAGCGCCAGGTTGTCTTTCAAGACACCAACGGACAGAAACATCCCGAGGTCAAAGGACACAGCTTTCTCACCCAGCGCAATGCGGTATCGGGCTAGGCCGTCTTCAAACGTATTTCCAGCGGCGTAACCAGATGCTCCTCGTGCGCCATATATTCCAGCAACAGATGACATTAACACGAAGAAATTCATTCCTCTCGGAAGCAGCTCGTGCAAATTCCATGAGCCTTGGGCTTTAGGCGTGGTAGAAGCTTTCCAAGATTCGAAAGATATACCTTCGAAATGCGCATCCTGTGAAATAAAATTCTCAGTGGACGTTTTTTGAGATTATACAAAGGTATCAGGACATTCAACTTACACTAACGACCATCGATGCTTGGACGCAACCCTTGATCGGAGGCATTGTCTGCCCAAACTCGAGCAAGACAGTTTTCAGGCATTCTCTGTCGGTTATGTCGCACGCGGGCGTAACAATTCTTGCGCCTTTGGCTTCTAACTCCCTGACCAGGTCATGGGCATGTGGGTTCAGAGGTCCCGACCGGGAGAGTAGAATCAGATTTCGAGCTCCCCTCTCGACAAACCAGCGAGCGATGTTCCTTCCTAAGCCGCCTAGACCACCCGCGATGAGATAGGTCTCCTCGGGGCTAAAGAGGTACGCTGGTCGCGTTTCCAGGACAGTCTGCGTTTTGGTTAGCCAGAATTCTGCTCATATCTTTGGGGTGATGATGATGTGGCATACCATTACCTCGTCTGTATTTCTCATCTCCAGAACAGCCTTCCCTGAGTTTTTGCCACTCTGCATTTGCCTGAATGCAGCTTCGATGTCCGAGATTCCATAGACTTGAAGTGGATCCGGGAGGGAGATCTTCCCTTCTTTTAACAATGACAGAATAGTTTCCAATGCCGCTGTCACAATACGTGGGCGATCCAACGTCATCGCGGCCAGATCAACCGCAGCAAAAGTTACATTCTGCTCGAATTGCAACATTGGAAGCTTCGAGTTGGATAAGATATCATTCTTCCCGATTTCGATGAATCGGCCGTACGGTGCGATCGATTCCCAAGAGGCGATAAGCCCTTCAGAAGACAACGAATTGAGGACCACGTCCACGCCTTTGTCCTTTGTGAGGCGCTTGATGCCTTTCGCGAATAGCGTGTTCCGACTCGAGAAGATGTTGTCCTCCGGGATATTGTACTTCTGTACAAGGAACTGCTTTTTGTTCTCATTGGAGACAGTCGTGAAGACAGTCGCACCGAGGTGCTGAGCGATCTGGATGGCGGCTTGTCCCGTTCCTCCAGCACCGGAATGAATCAGAATTGCTTCGCCGTGCTGGAGTCGAGCGATTTCATTGAGCGCAATCCACGCCGTGGCATAAGCGACTGGCAAAGCGGCGGCTTCCGAAAAGGAGAGCATAGTGTCCGGAATCCTTATGACAGCCATACTTTCTTCTAGACGGACATAGTTCGCATGACGACTGGGATAGCACGCCAAAACCCTGTCTCCCGGCTGAAACTTGCGGCACGAGGATCCAACCTTTGTAACCAGCCCTGCAAACTCAGCCCCCAACGCCTCGCTGTCCAGTCGTCCCAGGGCAATCAGCACGTCCCGAAAATTAAGGCCGACACTCTTAACTTGAACTTCGAATTCTGTAGGTCCCAGGGGCTTCTGGTGTGAAGTGTCCTTCACGAAGTGGAGAGTGTTCAACAGACCAGGGGAGCCTATCTCAAGTCTGAGGCGCGGTTCAGCACCAAACGCTCGTAATACCCTCTGTTGAGGAAGCTTCTTCGCCGAAAACTCCTGATTGACCCCAGTGGCGTGAACCAGGCGGCCGATGTGAAGCATGTTCTCTAGCTCTGTGTAATCTGTCTCGATGCCAGTCTCCTGAGTCAAGGCTGAGTGCGCTAGTTTGACAATCTGCTGGACCTGGTGCTTGATCGACGCCTTTTGCTCCAGAGAGAGGATTGTCAGTCTTGTCCTGTGGTTCTCCTCCCTCAGGACTCGAAACAGTCCGTCCACGAGTCGGTACTTTGGACATGACCGATGTCCGCCTCCACCATTTACCCAGATAAGATTCCTCGTAGAAGCAAGCAAGCTCTGAAGACGCTTGAACTCTTGCTCCTTTATATCGTACAGATAGGGACTGTAACCTTCCAAAAGGGCGATATCCAGACTATTTGTGTGATCTTCCTTTTTCAGGAAATGTTCCACCGGCGTTTGCGTTATATTGGCAAATCCCGCATACCTGAGCTGGGCATCGAGTTCAGCAGCCAATTCTACTTGCGCGTAATTAGCAGGATCAATGATGATACTGATTATCGGCGACTTTTCCATCTTGGAAGTTTCATGAACGGCAGTCGAGAGAATTAGACTTGCCTCCTGGCAGTCCTCGTGGCTATAGTCGTCGATCACAACATCGCAGCCAGAGAATCCGGCTTCCTTCAAATGTCTTTCCCATTGGGCTGAGTCCGCGCATGGATTCTTCTGACGGTAGGGCTCGAGTCCTGCAAAGGTCAGGATCTTGTGTACGCTTCTATCTTCAGAGCGTCGGAAGACGTACCTCGCCACCAGCCTTCAAACAAGCCAAAGACAAACGTTGTCCGGATGGCACCCGGTCGGGTGATTTCGAAGAGCACGAGCTTTCCGCCACTGCAGGAGATGATATCAGTTATTGCTCGCATTCAGCTGCGAAATATTGATGGAACAATCATACGGCTTCAGCAACTTGCGGACATTCTTCAGACTCGCAGACAGATCTTTTGTAGCATGTAAGACCTAAGATAGGAGGTAGGTTAGAGCGTGGCCCTACTTTGAAACCGTACAATTTCCAATCTCGTAAACTCACCAGAAATGCAACAACCATATCATATGTTCCACACTCGAAGCCATCCAGTCCAGGATCGTGCTCGATATCAAGCGTCTTAAACCGCATCCGCTTGCCTTGAGATGCAAAGAGGTCTTGCGCCTTTGGGAAGAAAGACCCAGATATATCGGTGAAGTCCCACTGCCTGTAGCGAGGCGCCGTGTCGTCGTTCTCCGAGTTCGTAGAAAGGACCTGAAGGCAGAATTGAGTCATGGCGCCGCTTCCAGCACCAACTTCAAGGATCTTCATGTGTGGGTTTTTGTGTGCGAGAGCATCCAGGTACCGAGCGACTTGACGAATACGTGGGACAGATTGAACCTGCAGATCATGGTCATTTGGAAGGTCATTTCGACTGTCATCGTCGCGTCCTAACTTACCATTTCATAATAAGATTCGTCGAGCAGGTTTCCTTCGAATAGGCAAACAATTGGGTCGATTTCTCCCTTGAGGAACATGAGAAGGTTCCTACAGACTGTACTTACAAGCTGCCCTCGCTTGTTCGTGCTCTCCAGTTTTGCATGGACATCATTAACGAAGCTCTCGTCCTTCATGCGGTTCCTCCATACTTCAGAACTAAATGCAGAGTGGCCTGACTCCAGTGCTGTTTGCTGATCTACCATCCACTCCACGTACCTCGCCATATGGGGAGGGTGATCGGCCTTGACGTCTGTGATCGACTTGAGGACTTTGTCAACGTATGTTGTAACAAGGAAGTCCAATTCAGTAAAGTACTGGACTGATTCTTCGCTATCTGGCTCACCACTTGCACAGAAAGCTTGGATTTCCTGGCTGCTCAGCAGGTCGAGGTCAGGCTTCCATTCTATATGGTGACACAGGTTCTCTGTCTGTAGTTGACCATCTTCTGAGACACTCTCTGAGCTTGCCAGAGCTGTGACTCTAAGGCCGTTGATGGTCAGGACTGCACGAGTCATTTTCCGATCTACTGCAGTCATTGAATACCGGGCGTCCCCTACGGCCGACCTATGGGAACTCGCATGTACTTTGATGCTGTCCGCTGTCAGATGGCTCAACCCACCGTTCGATATCCATGCTTGGTCGATCCGTGTCGGAACAGCTACGGACTTTTTCTGGCCACCGTACGTCACGATACCGGCCATCATGTGGATCACGGCGTCTAATGTAGTTGGGTGAATCGTATGAGGCTGAGCAACTGCCGAGCTCTCGTCATCCACCCATCTGTAGGTGCGGACATCCGAGACAAATTGCGAATTACTCTTTCCATCGCATCGGAGAGCGGTGATTGCTTTGAATGCCGGCCCATAATGGTAGCCACAGGCGAATATATCTTCGTAGAACTCGGATGGGTCGATGGATTCCGCGCATGTATCTGCTGCATTCAGATATGACTGCACAAGACCCTCCTGCCACTCGCTCTCCACTCGACCATTGGTATTCAGTCCCATCTCGCCAGCTTCGTATGCGGCTTGAATAGTACCTGTACAATTTTCAATCCAGGTGTTGTTGTCGTACGAACATATCCGGAATTCGTACCAGCCGCTACTATCTGACTTCCCTTCTCTGACACGCTTCATGTGTATATTTGTCTCAATGCCGTCTGCATGGGTGGGAATATGCAGTGCAGACGGAAACACCGCATCTTTGATATTGAAGCCCACGGTGACTTTGTCTGGCTCAACCAGCTGCTTGATCGCTTCCACCGCCATGACCAACATGCCTGCCGCTGGGTAGAGAATTGTATTATTGATCTTGTGGTCTTGAACCCACGACATCTCGGAGACTCGGATAATGTTCCGCCAGGTAGCTTCCATCTGGTTGCCGTCTGGATCTGGGATACCGACAAGGTCCAGACGGCCAAATCTCCTGCATCTGTAGCCCTTGCTTTTCCGGCTTTCGCGCCAGTATGATGTAGAATGGTTGAATGGGTATTCAGGAAGATTGCTGAGCACCCTCCTTTGGTTGGCTCCATCATAAGCAGTTGTGTTGACCAGTGCCAGATTAATTGGGTAGCCGTAGCAATGCAAGCGACCTGCACAGTCCAAGGTCGTCTTCACAGCAGATTTATTCCGTACTAGAAGTGATTGATAAAGGATATCGGCTTGCTTGTTGATGCTCTTGAGTATATCCCGGCATGGACCTTGCAATGCTGCGTGCGGCCCAATCTCCAAAAGATGACTGATGGCCATTTGATAGCGGTGGCTTCCATCGATTTTCCTCGTCTGCTTTCCTGGAGAAGAACATATGCGGCTCACAGCATCTGAGAATAACACTGGAGACACCATATTTCGCACCCAATATGCAGGGTCCGTCAGCTCAAAATTCGAGACCCAGTCACCTGTGACAGAAGATAACATGACTGGGCCCTTCTTCTTCTCACAACTCGGCTTCTCCAGCGTTCCCATAGCAGACTGATACTCGTTTGCGATTTCTCGCATCTGGAACGAATGGTATGCAACGTTGACCACCAACTTGCGTGAGAAGACCTCATCCTGCTGCAGCAGATCATGAAGGGAGTTAATTTGTTCTGCGTCCCCCGACACGGTCACGCTTCTAGGACTGTTGATACAGGCCACAACAAGTCTCGGATCTTGCATCCTGTCAATATATCCTTGGGTATCCTTTTTAGATAGTCCTACCGCAAGCATTGAACCTTTCATTGAACTAAGCTCTTCAAGCTTCGCCGCCAGAAAGCCTCGGTAGTATGAAACCTTCAACGCAGACTGCTTTGAAAGACTTCCGGCGCAGTACCTGTGTCATCTCTCGTCAGTCACATTCAGATGGATGAATATATGGAAGGGCAAAGTACGCAGCAGCAATTTCTCCGGAGGAGTGTCCTACAACTGCTGTCGGGATAACTCCCCAGCTGTCAAGCAGATCAATGAGGGCGGCCTGAAGAGCAGTGCATAGAGGTTGGCCATAAGCGGGATTATTCACATTAGTATTAGATGCTGACTTTTCTAGCTCGACTGTAAGATGATCGTTAGCCATTTGCTACAGACTGTATGGGACAGATACTTACTTAGCAGATCCCAGGTGCACCCTAGTGTTTTCAGGTACTTTGCGGACTCTGCGAGACTGTCCGCGAATACAGGGTACCGATGTAACAGCTCGCGACCCATTGCGTGCCACTGAGCTCCTTGCTATAAACGGTCAGCCTCGGCTGTCTCCGCTTTATTCTAGTCATACTCCAGTAAACAAGAACGCTATGTGAGGGTCGTCGGTAGACTTTATTGCAGGCGCAAAATGGTCTGGGAGACTTCCGAGATCCCCCAAGGCATCTCCAATAGCATAGCTCCGCCATTGGAGCTGGCTGCGGCGCTGACTGAGGGTATATGCCAGGTCGAGCAGATATTGGCGTCGCTGACTTCTTGAGAATTCACATTTGTCTGATAGAAACGGTTTCCACGATTCCACAAGTCGCTTGATTCCGTCTTCGTCTGCGGTTGACCACACAAGAATCTGGTAGTTCTCCTCCTCGTCAAGCAATCCATTCTCCTTTTGTCCAATGACATGATCGTCGGTTGGTTGACGGTTTTCTTTATTCATGGCGTAGCTACACTTCCCTTGAGCCACTAGACCAGTGTTTGCATAGTATGGAGGTGCGACCACTGTCTGATGACGCGTGTTTTCAATACCCATAAGGCGAAGGGAATTGTATGCATCATCCAAGACGACATGGCAATTTGAACCACCGAAGCCAAACGAGCTCACTGAAGCTCTTCGTAGGCCATTCTCAGGCCATGGGATGGCCTTTTGCAACACCTATTGTGCGAAAGTTGTTAGGGCGGTCGACTCAGCAGGATACTGTTCCAAACCTTCAAATTAAGAAACTCTTCGTCAATTTGTGGATTAAGGGACTGCAGGTTTCGACTATTCGGTGGGATTATGCCTTTCTCCAATGCCAAAATCACTTTGATGACTCCAGCAACCCCACTAGCTCCTTCAAGATGCCCTATGTTCGATTTGACAGAGCCGCTATAGTGCTCTTAGGATAAGTTCTCGCTCGTAATGGCCAGGAAGGACTTACACGTATAAAGGCTTCTCGGGGGACATATACCGGCGAAAAGCCATCCCTATCGCTCTCGTTTCGATTGGGTCACCAATGGGGGTTCCTAAATCTAGTTAACAGAGTAGAAACTTCCTGAAGTCTCAATAAATGAATACCTGTGCCATGCGCTTCAAAATATCGGGTCAATGACATGTCCAAGCCTGCCTTTTTGTACGTATCCCTGATCAGGCGGACCTGCGCGTCTTTGCTAGGCTGCGTGATACCGGGTGTCTTTCCATCCTGGTTTGAAGAGGATGATCTTATAACGGCTCTGACAGTGTCTCCGTCACGTATAGCACTATCGAGTCGCTTGATCACAATGACACCGATTCCCTCGCCTCTTGCATATCCATTTGCACGGCTGTCAAAGCTGTAGCTGTGACTGTCCCGCGATAGTAGCCCCAGGTTGTCCAAGCTCATGGTCAATTCCGGGGTTAGTATCACATTGCTCCCGATTGTCACGCCCTACCAAGGCATTAGCAAAAAACCAATAGGAACCTATCCTTCCGTCAACGTACCATAGCAGCGTCTCCACTCCAGATTGATTGGCATGTCATATCCAAGGCGATCAAGCTGCTTGAACATGCAGTATCAACCGCAACGCTCGGTCCTAGCAAATCAAAAAACCAGCTTACTCGATTAGCAAGCATATTCCGCGATGTGCCCACGGCCGTGTATTTAGGCATATCCAGCGGGTCTTTGGTCTGCAGCAAAAAGTAGTCATCGCTGAATGACCCTGCAATGACACTGGTCTTGGAGCGGGCAACTTTCTCCATTGGAAGACCTGCGTTTTCCAAGGCTCGATAGACCGTCTCTAAAACCATACGTTGCTGGGGATCCATTGCTTCCGCTTCCGCAGCACTCATCGAGAAGAAAGGCGCGTCAAATGCCGCTAGATTCTCCTTGAGAAAGTGTCCGCCACGCATTGAGACGCTGTCGAGGCGGTTGCGATCGGGATGGTAGTGGGCGTCGATGTTCATCCGATCGGCAGGGAACTCGGTCGAAACGCATCTGCCTTCGAGCAACATCTGCCAGAAGGCATCTGATGATGTTGCATCCTCGGGAAATTTGAACGAGAGGCCTACCACCGCTAATGGTGGAAGACTGTCGGTTGATGTGCTGCCTGCCATAACGAAAAATCAGTGCAGCGGCCTCGGAAAGAAAAAAGGATGACGCTGTACCTATCTAAATATAATGACAGTTAACAGGTTAATATACTTCTTATCAATGTATGGCATCCTAAGGAAGTCAAACACGCGACCGGCGGGCAATGCTGTTGTAAAGGGACACTGTCATTTGTCACTTGTTGAGACCCATCGATCGTCTTAGATCGAAACCTGGCCCCAGACACGGCAGGACGCCTGAACTGTGGGACGATGCAAGCTCATCATTGGCCATATTAAAATGAATGCGTGGCCAAAATGCGTACATGCCTAAATTTTAGATGGTTTAGGGTACCCGAACTGTCCAATGTCAATACCGCCTTCATTCAGCCTCAGGGATAGTGCATGTCGTTTGGGATCCTAGGCTATGCACCCTCCTGTTTATTTGGAATTCGACAAATTGACAAATGACTGTTGACATGACCCACCGCAGCGACAGCCGATAAATGGTTCCCACCACTTGCTTTGGCTTCCTTTAATCTTGTCTCATCCGGAAGTACGTCGACAATTTAGTTGGACCAAAATGCGCATTCTCTGGTAAGTGTCCCTAGCCAAGTGAACTGGTCGCAGTTGCTAATGGAGAGCAGTCTCCATGGAGCAGGCATCAATTCTCGTGTAAGCTTCGAGCCATACTCAACATTGAAGCTAACGAGTCTGACACGAGTCCAAGATCTTCGAGATGCAGACAGGTAGAACAGCCTTCGTAATAGAGATCGGAACTGACAGAACCAGCTGCCATCCGCTACGAGCTAGCAGACGGCCACGTCTACGATTTCGTCGAAGGTACCATTCCTTGGAGCATGTACCCAGGTCCGTGTACCCTTTGGACATAGACGTACACAACCCGAAACTGATTCTGCAGGTGTTGAAACAATCGCCTTGGAGAAAGAACCTGTTTTCGCGTACTTTGACGACAAAGACCCGCAGAGTGGTCTCGCCGTCTATCGGCATTTCGAACAACACCTGCGAGACGAGGGGCCATACGATGGTGTAATTGCATTCAGTCAAGCGGCGACGATGATCCTAACGTACCTTATATATGTCTTCAGGAGAAAAAAGCGAGGAGACAACGTTGACAGCCCGTTCAGATTCGCTGTGTTCTTCTCGGTTGTGCGGCCACCGATTGACTATGAGGGATTACAGACGGGGGAGTTTGCAGTCGTTGATTTAAATGATGTCAAGGGTATTGTCGAGATCCCCACGGTCCATGTATGGGGTGCACTGGAAGAGAGTGGCAGCCAAGCGGCCATGGCGAGCGACGTCTGCAGGTCAGACATGAAGTGGACGTATGTTCACGATCGAGGGCATGAAATTCCTGGCTCTGGGAGCAAGGATGCTGTGACAAAGACAGCGAATGCGATACGAAGGGCGATAGAGACTGCGTCGGATCATCTCGATAATAAAGAGTAGCCAACAAGCTCATACTTAGATCTCAAGCATTATATGTGGTTAACAACTGCTGCAAAATGTATAAATAGCGTCCGAGAACCTTCTTACGCACTCCCCTCCAGCAACACCCACCGCACCAAGTCCGCAATCGTCCGACTCACCTGGTCCGTCCGGGGAATCTCATGCCCACCCCCATGATCAAACACCCTCCTCTTCGCTGGCTCACAAATCCCCGAAAGGTGCACCCCAGCGGCATACCTCGGATCCTTAGACCCATAAACATGCACCGTCGGAATCCCCAACTTAAACGGCCCACGGATCTCCTCCCGGAGCTCCTCCTCGTCCACCGCCCCACCCACCGACGCCGAGCCGGTCCACCGCGCCGAGCCCCTTGCCAATATCGACGCAGAATGAGCCTGCAACGCCAACGCCTCCCTCCCCAGCCGATCGCGCTCCTTCACCGTGTCCGAAATCTCGAACCCTATGCCCTCAAGCAGCTTCAGCGGCGCCCCGCCGCAGATGAAGATCGCCGCCTTGAACGGGGGAGGCTCCGTGGGTTCCTGCACTTGGTGGAGGAGGAGCATCGCGGCGCCGAGGGCGCAACCTTGCGAGAACATCATGACCGCATCGTAGGGGCCCCGCTGTGCAATAAGACCCTTGAGCCAGGTACATGTTTTCTGGATTGCCTCGGGGGAATCATCTTCCCAGAAGGAGTAGTAGGGAGCGGGGTAGAAGAGGTCGATTCCCGCTGCGGCGGTGGAGGGGTAGCAGCCGTCTATGAAGTCGAAGTCGATGCGGAGGTCGGTGAGGTGAGAGCGGAAGCTTGCTGGAGGGAGGGGTTAGTTGCGAACTTGCGGACAGCTGATAAGCAAGGGCGGGGTAGGTTACGGACCCGTCTGGGAGTTGAATATGGCGGCGCTGGTGCCCTTGCCGTGGAGGCCTAACACCTTCATTATTATGGCGGGACTTTGCGAGAGAGATGGCAGTGAGACGGGGAGATTACTTTGAATATGCAGAGAAAGGGATAGGATAATGCCAACCTGGCAAGAAATTCGCTGGGGCTGGAATCCAAACCCCTCCGTCAGCAAAGCGCCCCCACTACAGCCCCAGCCTGCAGGTTGGTTTGTTGATAACGGCGTTCTCGGTTTGGCTTCATGTAGTTTGCCAGTACGAATGGACTTATCTTCCCCGAGCTCAGAGGTGGCGTCAAAGTAGCAGCAGAGCTAATTTCCCTTCATCAATCACTACTTATGGTTATTTAGTTTAGCTAGCTGTCATCCTCGCCGGTTCTGAGACACTTTTAATATATATTCAAGTGGCCAATCATAAATTGATGGATTTGGGCAACACGAATACTAAGGTAAGAGAATCTACAATCATAGCAAAACAAATTGTCAACAAGCGAATCTAGTCGACGACAAAAGACGAAGCGCAATGTGTGTTGAACACTAGCCAGAAGCCAGAACCGTCGGAGCTGCCGAAAATGGTTGAGCATTCTCAGGCTCTGTGTCAATCTTCAACCCCAGTTCTTGCTCCTCACGTCCTCTACTTCATCTCCACGCTGGCATTGGCACTCATCGACAAAAGAGTAGATGGCGTCAAACCAGCTCTCATCTCAGCATCCATTATGGTGAGCATTGCGTTCTTCCCGGTTCCAATCCCGTAAGCCCTCTTGGTTGCCTTCCAACTTTCCACAAGCGCTAGGTAAACAGCGACACATCCGAAGACAATTCCCCACTCCCACCCGATACCTTGATGTTTGAAAACCAGTCTGTTGACAGCAGGCAAGTAGATCACTGGAAAGGCCACAACGAAACCGGCAATCACTGCCCAAAACAGGAAACGATTTCTCCATATGGACTGGAACACAGAGAGCTTGCCAGGATATTTATCAGGATCTAGATTGAACAGAGACCGAGAGAAATGTTTGACCTCCCACGCTGTGATCAGTAGAAGAAACGTCAGCGAGGCATAGGTTGTAGCACGTGCTCGGAAGACGACGTTGCATGTTTCGTTCCAGCCATTGTTGCAATCTTCTCCCAGGTCAGAAATACCAGCACCAGCTCCATAGATGACGCTCACAAAGGCGACGAGACATAAAGATCCCATGAATGTACCGTAGATCATTTTGTCCGTGATAAGCTCCTTGGTGAAGACGCCCACCTTCAGGTCATGTGGTGGACGGTACATTAGATCAGGCTGCCCTTCTTCTAATCCCAACCCTAAAGCTAGGAACGACGAAGTGACTAGGTTGGCCCAGAGGATTTCAAGCGGCGAAATAGGAAATATCGAGTTTCCCTGCTTATCTTTGAATGCGAGAGCTATCAAGAGCAAGATCACCTGAGCGATATTTGATATAAGCAGGTGCATCAAGAACTGCAGGTGTTAGTCATGCTATACAAAACCGCCAACTTGAGATTACCTTCTGGATGTTGTCAAAGAGTCGTCTTCCTTCCTCCACTGCCTTCACGATAGATGAGAAGTTATCGTCTGTGAGTACCATGTCGGCCGCTTCCTTTGCAACATCACTGCCATTCTTGCCCATTGCAATGCCAACATCTGCGCGTTTCAAAGCGGGCGAGTCGTTGACTCCGTCGCCTGTCATCACACAGAAAGCGCCACGTCGATGCATCGCCTCAACCATTCGAACTTTTGTTGCAGGGCTACATCTGGCGATCACAAGAGGTAGCTGCTCGATGGCGTCTATCTCAGCATCAGACAGTTCATCAAATTCGGCAGCGGCCATGACCAAGCGACTTGATCTGGCATCCATCATTGGACCGAGAATTCCCACTTCCGACGCAATTGCTGTCGCCGTTTTGATGTGGTCACCAGTGAGCATATGCACGGTGATTCCGGCCATCTGACACTTTCGAACGGCAGCAGCGGTTTCGACACGGGGAGGATCGTAGAGCCCTACAAGACCGCAGAACTCAAGATTGGCCTCAGCCATGGCGCGTGGAAACACTTGGGATTGATCCTCAAGGGGTGTTCTTTTGTGTGCAATGCAGAGAACGCGAAGACCTTCACCGGCCATTCTGTCAGCTTCAGACTGAATGTTTTCCTTTTTCTTCTCAGATATGGCGAGGCCTGATAGAACAGCTTCGGGAGCTCCCTTCGTATACACCTCGTTAATATTTTCGCGCGAATTTTTGTAAACGATTGTCATCCGCTTAATAGAAGAGTCAAACGGATACTCTGTATCGAGCTGCATACCGTCTCTCTGCAGTATCGTCGATTTCTCGTAACCGACACGCAGCGCCAGAACGTTGAGGGCAACCTCGGTGGGTTCTCCAACAGCAGTCCAGCGACTACTTGAGGCGCCAGATGGCTCCTCATTTTGAACGACTGACATATTACATAGAGAAATTGTGGCGAGAAAAGTAGAGAGAGCCGGGTTATCACCATGCTTTTCGGGAACCCAGTCAGACCCGTTCAATTGAACTAAACCGCTAGTAGGGTCGTACGGGTCTGTAGTGTCCTGAACAGTCAGAGTACCGGCACCTGGTATCCACGCCGTACGTGCAATCATCCTTCCTTGCGTCAAGGTTCCCGTCTTGTCAGAGCAAATGTTTGTGACACCCCCAACAGCTTCCAGACATTGAAGCTTCCGGACAATGACGTTCCCCTTTGCCATTGCTTTGGTTCCCACTGCCATCGTTATCGTAAGCACAGCAATTAAGGATTCTGGAATCACGGCCACGCCAATGGCTATTCCGTATATCAAGACTTCTCCTTCAATGTCCCACTTGTTGACAGAAAAGACGATAATAGCCAGGAGTACTGCGAGAGCAAAAAGAAGGAGGGCAAATTTACTCAACTTGACCTGTAGTGGAGTCCCAACGAGGCCGAGGAGATTCTCCGCTGTTGACTTGACGTAGCGGACGGCTCGAACGAGCCTGCTGGAGTCGGCGTCGTCTGAAGTCTCCTGGAGAAGTTTAGCTATTCTGCCCACTTCGGTTTTCATTCCGGTAGCAGTGACGATTCCGGTTGCCCGTCCTTGTGTCATGCTACATCCGGAATATGCCATGTTTGTTCTATCGCCGATGGGCATATTGCGGGAAGTATGCACAATCTGTGAGGCCTTGTTCACAGGCAAAGATTCGCCCGTTAGCAAGGCCTCATCCATTGATATGTTCGTACCGTCGATCAACCTCAGATCTGCAGGAACGATGTCGCCAACTGTCAGTTGAACAACATCGCCGACGACAACAGACTCCGCCGGGACGGAGACTACGCGGCCGTCTCGCAGTACCTTGCATACAGGTGCGGAGAGTCGATGCAGTGACATGATTGTCATTTCTGCCCGGTAGTCTTGGACGAACCTAAGAAATATGGATCAGACTGAGGCCATCAAAAACCAGAGTATATAAACCTACCCTACGACAATGTTGAGGACGATGACTGCTGTGATCACACCTCCCTCGATGTAATCATGGATACCGAAGGATATAGCCATAGTGATGAGGAGAACCTGGGTTTACATTGGTATCATTTGGCAAATTAAAGTTTTGACAGACCGGAATGTGGGCCTGCAGGAATGATAATACCATAGTTAGACTATTGGAAACCTGCCTCAACAGTATTTTCCAGGTCGATACGCCCTCGATTTCTTGAACCCTGTTTGGGCCATCCCGCTCCAAGCGAGTGGCAGCTTCCGTACTTGATAGGCCATTTCTGGAAAATCGAGTCAGAGAGAGGTAGCAGATTGAGTGAGCAATTACCGAAAATGTCGAACTTACTGAACATCGACCTGGAGAAGCCTTGCCAGTTGCTCAGGAGAGAGAGTGTGTGCAGAGTGAGCTGAGCTCGCATCATTGCCAAAGGCAGCATTTGCCGATTTATAGGACTGTGGCTTTGAGACTTCTAGAGTGGCAGGATACTCTAGCTTCTCCACGCCGAGTCCTGTTTCTACTTCACATGTGTGATTGCTTGAGACTGAAGTGTGTTTGTCCGTAAAAGGACATATAGGAGGTTCCGTCGATTCCTCGACATCAGGCGGAGACGTTTCAATGCCCATC